GGCAGTGAGGAATGAGCTGATGGTGGCAGCCTGCCTGCCACCCGGAACCAGGGTGACATCTCAGCCTGGGATGCTGCCATGGTGCTGCCATAGCTGGAGTCTATGCTGATGTCTATGATCCATGCTGCTGCCGAGGCCGTGGGGTGCCCAGAGTCTAGGCCACCACCTGTGGTCATTTTGGTGTCCAAGGGCCATGCTGCTACTAGGGAACATGATGGTATCTGGGTTTCAGCTGCTGTGGGGAGTGGGGAGCTATGTCTGGGTCGGTGGCCCTGCAGCAGCCAGGGTCTGTGTTGATGTCCATGGCTCCTGTTACCACTGAGGGTTGTGAGGATGCCCAGGGTCTGGACAGCCACCTGAAACCATGCTCTCTGCTACAGGGGCCATAGTGACGTCAGGACCACAGACCCAGGCCTGAGCTGCCACCAAGGACCATGCCTAGGTCTGTGGTCCTGCTGCAGCTGGGGTCTGTGATGATGTCCATGGCCCATGTTGCCACAAGGGGTCATAGGAACCATGCACGTTGAAATATGAGAGCTGTGCTGAGCCAGCCATGTGCCTCACTGGCCCGGAGATAACTGTCCCTGTCCCTCACTGGTCATTGCAGCAGGAGAGCTGCCCTCCAACCCTTACTTAGGAGAGATGGCCCTACTCCTCACCATGGGTGTGGGAGAACTGGCCTCTATGGCTGTCCCTAGTCTGAGGGGGGAGATCCCAGTGGCCCAAAAAGACCCACATCCTAGGCCTTTGGGTTGGCTCACCCTAACACCTACTCTATCTATGACCTGCTAGAGTACATGAAGAGACTGATCCTGCGGAACAATAACTGGAGGATCCCCATGACTCGGGGCAACAGCAGGATAGAGAGGCGTTTTGGTGAGAGTCCACTGATGATGGTGTGTCAGAGGTCTTGAACCAGCCCAGTGACTCATTGCAATGAACATTTTGCAGGTGGAGCTGACTGAACAAAAGGGTATATATACACTGTGTGACACACCACAGCACCCAATGCCACTAGGATGAATGAAGAGGTCTTAAAGATGGAGAAGAAAGGTGGGTTTTTGTTGTTGTTGTTGTTGTTGTTGTTTTTTGAGACATGGTTTCTCTGTGTAGTTTTGGTGCCTGTCCTGGATCTTGCAGAGATCCACCTGGCTCTGCCTCCTGAGTGCTGGGATTAAAAGCATGCACTACCACTACCCGGCTGCATCCTAGCTTCTTAAAATTCAGATGGCATAAGTAGGAAATAGGAAAAAGGAGAAACACTCATAGAATCACCAGAATTTCCATATCTAAGAGACTACACAAGAGAATAAAAGCAAATATTTGGCAAACTCTATGGACGTGGGGCTAATCACTTTTTAAAAAATGAGCTCATTCACAGATGAGTATAACAGACTGTGTGTGCCATACCTGGCTGATGAGAGACAGCCCATTTCTTCGCCACATCTCAGCAACAACCTGGGCAACCAGCACCAGACAGCGCAAAGGGTACTCCACTAGGACCTCTACTTGAAAGCCATCCTGAAACACAGTGAGGTCAGTTCCATCATTTCACACACTACACATTCCTTGACTTAGGCAAGAAGTCTGTAAAATGGAAGAGCTTGCCCTCGATGCCTTTCAAGTCTTTGTTATTCAGATTTCAACATGGTACATTCAGCCGTGAAAGTGATTAACTGTGACTATGCAGAGGGTTAACCTATGATTTTTGTTCCCACCCACCAATGGAGATGACCAGAAATAGGACATAACTCAATACTTAAGAGTCACTTACAAAAGGCACAAATTCATGCAGTCTTGAAACAGCACCTAGTCTGCTTAAACGTACATGAAGACCTAAATCATTTTTAAAAGAAGAAAAAAGAAAACAGGAAAGCAGTTAAACCCTATTAGTATAGTTTTAGTTAACTCATCAAGATTGGAAAGCTGGGTTATTTAAATGTATTTTCACTAGAATTGAGGATGTATCTCAGTCACAGAGTACATGGCTAGCATGCAGGAAGCCTTAAGTTCAATCTCCACCCCTCACCCCCCAACACATACACACATTCTTACTAAGTTTATAAATGATACTCCAAAATGAAAACATTTAACTTCTAATTTTGAAATACAGTATTACCAAACACTATCTTACATTGCAAAACATCTTACATTGTATATACATCATATAAAACTAAAAGTCTGCGTCTCCAGATGTTTATTCTACTCTTAAAGAAATAACACGAGGGCCAGCAAGATGGCTCAGTGGGTAAAGGTGCCTGCTGTCAAGCCAAGTGAGCTGAGTTCAATGCCCAGAGCTTATGTGGTGGCAGGAGAAGACCAACTTCCACAAGCTGTCTTCTAATCACCA